TTATTAATTTTAAAAACTAGCATGCAGCTTTGTACCAGTAATTCAGTTACCCAAGACCGTTGATACATATCACTCGTAATGTTTTCATCAAGTATGAAAAACCACGTTAGGTTTAGTTTTCTTGACCTTCCAGCTGTCTCATATTTCATGCTCTCTATTTAACGAAGGAAACTTATCACCACATTTACTCGCTTTCATGTGAAATCAGGATTTACGGATTACAACCTCTGAGTTACCTGATACATTGAAAGCAAAACTTAACTACATCCACTGTATTTAATTGTACAGTAAGAAAATGAAAGTAACCAAGAAAATTCATTACAACATGTCGCTTATAGACGTCGCTAAACTGCTTATTATTTTATAACTTTACACGTTCAAAATGCTCTAATTTAAGTAATTACTTAGAATTGTAATTATGAACATTTTTATGACTGCAAATGGCTGCCGACTTTTCTCTAGAGAAAATGTTCTCATAATATCAGCGGTATTAATTTTGTAATAACTTCTGGTGTACGATAAGCCTTTTCATGACTTTCACACATTGTCGTTAAAGTCTTAAACAAAGGATGACAAGCTACACACTTATCTTTGAGATTTGTTATAGCAAAAGCGTAAGGTGAATTTTGTGCGCATTTATCTCGTCTGCTCTTGTTTTCTCGAAAGTAAATTCCCTCTCTCAATAAAAATGTCTTATATTCAATTATAACAAAACAAGAGTACAAGTATTTGAGAAAAACATCGCAACGTACACAGATGCCAAGACGCACTTCACACAGATCGTTATTTTTTTATGCCTATGTCGCGAACACACGTAATTTATTTGCGCTATTCTTGTACTGCGCCACTTTCCAAAAAGAAGTGAAATAAATATTACGCTTATAAAGAGTATGCTTCTAATATAGGCAAGAAATTTAAGACGTAGTAAAGCGCAAAAAAGAACTATTATTTTATATTACCTATAGCAGAGACGTAGTCACTATAGATACAATTAGTAGCAGTAGAGCTCCTTGTGCAAGAGTTCGTCCAGGGTAGTACTGCCGCCACCTTACCTATTTCTGCTGCCAAGCAGTAATGGCAACATTACTGTTTACCGGTTTTGAAGGGTATATATATACATGAGACTTGTCAACATGTCTCAGGGTGACGGGCGCAGAGGCAGTGCCCCTCAGATCTTTGCGATTTAAAGCTCTCTGAATGGCACTGCAACTGCTATGGACAGGCGTGTAGCATACCAACAAGCGCACGACTTGTCTATCCCATCACATGTCATAATAAAAAAAAATTAGGACAGCACAGTTGCAATCTGGTTTACCCGTAATCTCTATTGTCCAACGAATCGAAGATTGTTAACGGCAGTTCTGTATGTGTAAATACGATAATAGTATTTCATTACTCATTATTGTATGCTGACATTAATAATTACACTTACTTTACCTAAAATATACATATAAACACAAAGTGTTAAGCCATTACTATATCGTTTTAAAGAGAAGATACGAAAATCATTATATGTAGAATAATTATGGTGTTGTACACCTCGCGCACACAAAATGGCGTACTTACTTCGCTTTGTGGGAGATTTAACTAACTTGTCTCTGTGCTTATTCTCAATATAGTGGACATAGAGTAAATCAACAAACGGGAATGTAATTTTGTTGTAACATCATCGAAAATTAACTGCAACACACAAATGGCTCTGTTACAATTTTCTGATGTTTTCAAGTTACAATGCTTGAACAGACCATCAATATCGATTCTGTTTAGGAGCTTAAATGAGATATACTTTAATAAAATACGCTTCTTCTAAAAGACAACAAAAAGATGTTAAATGTGCCAATCAATTATGTTTAAATCAAATAAGGACAAAACATTTAGCGAACAAATTCAATTTTTTATTTACCTCGGTGTAATGCTAAATGGTTTGACCTACTTAATGAGATGACAGATAAAAGAAAAAGATGTTAGATTAACTTTGACTTCATTTTAAAACCGAATTTTCCTCAGTATTACTAATATTAGTTTCATATTAGTTAAATAAAACTCCCTTTTATAAGTTTAACCTTTACTTGTAAGGCTAATTTATAGAGACTAATATTTAAATACTAAATTACTTTTACTTCAAGTTACTTGTTTCTATATTCCACTAAGCACATTGTTGTATTTTTTTCTCTTCCAAAGCATCATAACCAACGTTTACCCCGCATTAACCTAAAGACCTCTTTACACCCTGCCGACCCTGACGAAACCACAAACAAAACAATATACGCAAGTCAGTAACCATTACTAAAAGAAATAACCATGACCTTAATTTCCTTTACTGTACTTTAAATGATGCTGGTAGTATTATCTCATCACATTTTTAAGATTTTTAATTATTCTTAGGAAGTAATTATTCTTAATGTGTCAAAATTCTTTGGTGTGAATTGTACTTTGCGTTATTTACAAAGCGTTCAAAGCAGCTTAAGAAAGTGACAATTCTGATAAATAGATTATCTATCTTGATTGCACTAAAGAGTAGACGTGTGCGCTAACTTTATATTCTGTATATGTCAAAGACAAGCATTCTTTAAGAATGGTATATTTCTTTAATTACTTTGTTTTAAATATCATCGCCTTACTTTCTCAAACTCGTATCTTAAAGCACATAGTTCCTGAAATGCAAAAAATGGATTGTATATACAAATTTTGCAGTCTGATTTCACATCATATTTCCTTCATATTCACGCACTGGCTTTTACCTATTCTAAAAGTAATGCGTCCAAATTAACACCCTTGATAAGAAATTTAAAATAAATAGAAAATTTTGCCATCTCTCGAATAATCACTCTTTATAAGATACCAGTTTGAGAAAATACGGCAACGACATAGCGTACTGTGATATAACATTAGCATTACTGTAAATTCTTCGCCTGTGCTAAGCTAATAGACCTTATACCTCACATCATTATCTAAGATGTGGTAATAGAGTTTATGTATAATATAGTTTTTATTCAATTTCAAATTCAAATTCAAAATAATCTTTATTTCATAGGTAAGCATTATTACACTTGAAATCGTCACAATATTAAACTCTACCGCTCATTCGTAAGGCAGATTCCCCTGAGAAGAATGAGCAAGAAACTCTAGGGGTTGCTCTTTGTAAATAACATTTACAATATTTTTTTTTTATTTGAAACATCAGAGATCGAGACTACCTCCATGAGCTTATTATATATAGCATATTATTTATTAATGTACTGGGACAAATAAACGATTATTATTATCATAATACTATGCAGTAGCAATAGAGCACCTTGTGAAAGAGTTCGTCCAGGGAAGTACTGCCACCTTACCTATTTCTGCCGCCAAGCGGCAATGTGAGCATTACTGCGTTCCGATTTGGAAGGGTAAGGGTGCTAGTGAAATTATAGGCACATGGGACTTGTCAAACCACAGGCGCAGTGGCAGAGCCCCTAAGATCTTTGCGACTTAAAGCTCTGAGTGGCACTGCAGCTGATATGGATAAAGTTTACAGTCACCATACATTACACTAATTTCTAATAAAAAAATTCACTGAATAAAGTTGTAAATCACACAATTATTTGAAAATTGTAAATTATCAATTTGAATGTACTTGGAGGTAATACTTCAAGTATTATTATGATTGTAAATAAAATAATACAATATCTTTATGAATCTGTCGTTTCTGCTTTGTTACGAAGAGCTTTAAAAAGGAATCAAGATAATGTTTTACAAATGGAAAGCCGTTTTATAATGCCACGAGCGAAAAATACATGATTGCTTTGTTTCAAACTCATGTCAACTGTCTCTTAAATACTGCAAGAAAATAGATTGGGATACTTTCAACTAGATAAAGGAACGTTTTTCAACCTATAATTATAACACTGTATTTTATTTCATCGCAAGAAACTTGAAAACACATTAAACTTGACGAACTTTTTGTATATAACTTTTTTTATTAAAAAAAACCAAACCTTAAAAGTTCGTGGAATTATATCTATTTGCCAAGTTTTATTGCAGTCTGTTACTGAAAGTTCGTGGAATCGAATTCATTCCCTAATTTGAGACCCTTAGAGGTGGAATATTTTCTTCAAATTTAAATGAGACCAATACCTTCTTTCCAACAAAAAAGGAATCATCCAAAACAAACAAACAAAATACTTACGAAATGAGAATCTTCTCCTGTTTTGAAGTTGGTTAAAAATGAAGGAAAAACTGGTTTTTAATTCATCTTTTTACACTATTTTCTCAGGATATTTGAAATTGCAAACAGTTAATAGCATCCTAAATAGTAGATAGTTCAAGTACCCGGACTCGACTTTTGCTTTTAGCCTCTTAACAGTCACGTTTTGAATGGAATGATGCAAGAGTTAGTCTAATACATTGGAAATTGCAATTCACTACATGACAAATTATTTCCCTTTAGCAAACAGTAAAGAGACTTGCTACTCCTTAGAATTTAACATCGAGACTTAAGGTTACGGCAGCCACTTAGCATTAACATGCCATTCTATTTAAAGTATGTGCATGTGATGCGAATTTTATAATTGGAGTACGTCATATAAAATATATACCATTAACATTATAAATTCAACAACGAAGAACAAACTGTCGTTTCATCAACTTTCAGGACTTTTCGAATATATTATTTACAACGTTCGCATTGTACACACGCAACACAATGGAACTGCGTGTCTTCAATTTCATGCCATTTAACGACGTCTGTAAGGCTCTAATTTAAAATGAACTTACTCGCAACAAAATTGGACCACATCCCTCGGCAACAGCACCCTCATTTACATAAATTTTCTTCACAATTATCAAGACAACGTTCAGTTATTTAGAGACGCCGTCTATGCGTTCTTTCGGTGATCAACTTGTGAAATTTAAACAAATATATTCGTCACAATTCACATCTCTGCTTAAGTCTGAAACTCATATATTCACATTGAATATACCTATACCTGTTTAAAATTCACAAGTGAGGCTTAACTTACCTTTGATGGAGGCGTTCGTTAGAGTTGTGCCAGCAAGCAACCACTCGCTACCCTCGGTCCTTTAAATTTTCACAAACTTCCACCTCTCCGTTGAAGCACGCCAAAAATCACTTCGTCGTTATGCAAACATAAAATCTCCATAATTCACAACATTTCACACATCACATTTAACTCCCGAAGTTGGCAGCTCGTAAAAGGCTGTATTGATAAAAGTTCCTCACACACTGCTACGTACCATAATAGGTCACATTAAAAGTTTTCCAAAACTTACCGAACTCTTGAATTATGGGGTAAATTCGAGCATGTACTTTGAAAATCAATCTTTTTTGTATGGAATGTAAAGTGCGCTCGCGGCGTAGGCGCAGTGACGCGTGCAGGTTGGCCGGAGGAGGGCAGAGACCTCGGAGCGTGGAGCGTTCGCCGCGTGCGCCGGCGCCGCCAGAGACGATAGTACCGTTGCTCCGAGAGTGGGAGCGAGGTCGGTTCCATGCTTTGACATTTCAAATTATTTCGTTACGTTTACCGATGTCATGACAAGTATTGTTATTGTTGGCATATATTGCAACAATGGCGCTCGGACGATGCAATTGTGGTATTTACTTGGGCCAATGTAGAGCCTTGAAATACCATAACAACATAGCCTCATTGAATAGAAATAGAGAGACACCTATATTGGTAATGACTTTCCTTCGACAGTAAAAGTTGTTTTGTAACATTGTTATAGAGTATTGTCAGCTATATTTTAGTAGTCTATTTTAATAACCTTAATTTTATAGAATATGGAACAATATTAACGGTTGCATAAGTCACATTACTGTTAAGGTTCTCACGATTATAAGTTCTTTTCATAATGGTTTTGAGCTAAAATGTATGTGTGTGAGAATTAAATGTTAGATGTGGAGCGCGATACTGTTTCATGAAAGGGAACGCTGTTCGTGCTTGCCTGCTATCGAATAGACATGGTGTAAACCTTTCCAAGTTATGTACATACATGTGTAAGTCGAAAGTATGCCACGAAACCATGCTAATGCCAAGCTTTGATAGCTAATGTTTACCTTCGTGTTTTACAGTAACGCGAACCACAGGTTACGGTGAATATTATAAGTGGCATTAATAGTACATAGGATTGCGTTGATGTCTTTACTAAGTAATTATCAATATTCATCCTAAACGCAGTGAGCTAGAGTTAATGACCCGATTAAAATCATATTGTCGTGAACCCGTGTGTCTATATTTGAAGTTTGCTACAATACTACATACCTACTGGTCGTAAAAATAAATCAACAATAATATTACTGTTGGCTGTTGTTGGTGTTACCAGTAAATGATAATTTAAATGTGTGAAATGGCGTACGTGTGTGTGCTCGTACTATAACAAAAATACAAGTACTAAAGTACCTACCGATGTACTGTGAGTTTTTGCTAGGTAAGTATTGCTGTGGTAGCCTAATGGTTTTACTTACCTCTCAAGCAAAAGGCTTCGAATCCAGGTTTGCACCTCAGAATTTTTCGGAATTTATATGCAAAATTTAATGTGAAATGAAGCATAAGCGTTTCAGTGAAATAAAACGTCTTGAGGTAACCTGCTGTGTGTGAAGTTCCCTATCCACATTACCCGCGTGCTAAGGGAGAAGAGAGCTGTGCCTAGCAATGGCTATAATTATACAGACTAGCAATCATTATTATTATAAATATGTATGAAGGAAGACCAGCTGAGGAATCCCATAGACTACTTCCGAAATCCTGGACGGTCTTTCGAGTCGAATGAATGGTTGTCAGGAAACAAGCAAATATAAACCATTTCACATGCGATTACTGCGGTCAAAGATATTCCTGTACGACCACATATTTAACAATACAGCGTACAGCAACCGTACATATCTGTATATATAAAATGAAGATCCCTCCCCTTAATACCTTTTAGTTTTAAAAGGTTTTCGTATCAAATACCTGGAAGAACTTGTAGATGACTTATTATTTTGAATTACATAATTTGTAGTGCTCTAATATATAATCTCGCATTATCAATTCTTGTCTAAACTCATAAAGGGCCCTCAAGGCAATAAATTCTCTTGTTATGAGGCACGCATGTCTCGTATAAAGTTGGTAACAAGCCAAACAGAACTTGTCAAGGATTCCTACGTGACAAATTTAAGTAGGCACTTGACATTGAAGAACTAATGGGAATGTAGACTTGATTACTTTGGTAAATTCATAATGGTTATAGATGCGTATATAATATACAAATAACTAATATAAATCTACAATTAGAAGACGCCGTAAGTTTGATGGAAGTGCGAACTTTAGTGGTATAAATAATATGATATTTCTGAAATGTATAAAATAATCTTCGCAAATATTAACACATAAACCTAATATATACGTATTATTTATATACATAATACATATATTACAATGATACATATATATATATATATAATAACACAAGATGATGATTATGATTATCGCGGTGACAAACAATTTAAATATTCGTATACAATTTTCCCTTACACACTAGGTCTTATTTACGCTCCATGACAACCACATTAACTGCTTATTTACTTCCTATGAACAAGCTTGATATGCTCTTCGGAACAAACAAATCGGACACGATGAAAACACCAACAGCATCTTGACCACGAGAGCTGGTAGGCCTGATTGCACTAACGTAAACCACTGTACTATGATACACTTAAACAACAGGTGCCACTATTAAGTACCATGAATTTATTAAATTGTTTTTTTAATTTAATTTCATTTTTATTTTTAATTACTTGAATTGATTTTGTTTACTTTATTTGAATTATTGTAACCAATATGTAATATAATTAGTAATATGATGTAATTCAATGTATTATAATTGTTACATACATGACATGGGCGATATACATGGTAAATTAACAATTATTAAGATCCAATTATGGAGAACACTACATCATTCAACTGGCATCAGTCCCTATGAGATAATATACATTTTAAGGCTTTCGTCGTTATTCACTAAATGATTATCACTAATTTCAGGTTTCTTACCACAGTATGACTTCTTTTTATTTTCCCGATATTTCAAACGCTCCATGGTCTCGGGTTGACTGGACGGCAGATGACAGCTTTAAGAGCAGACATATTTGTCTATCCTCTTGCGCTGTCGACGACTACTACCTTCATGGCGATTTGTTGTGGCGTTACCATTGTCACTCACTTTTTTCACACAAACCACACTCACTGTATCCACACGCGAAACTGAACTCGAGGTTTTTTGTTTTTATTACTGCACACACTAAGGACCGGATTCCATGCACTGGACAGTTTAAAACCATCATCACGGTTAAATGTTTTGTACTTCGTGATCTCGATAGCTTCTCGTACCAACCGTGGTATGTAGTGGTACGACGTTCATCGACATGACATTCTGTCGACAATACCTGGTGGCAATGCAACTGGATCCAGTGGTTATTGTCAGTCTGTGTGAGATGTGGCTATAGCACGCCAACTTCTGTGCATCATTGTTTTTTACTGCTAACTACAGTACAGACAATACATACATACATACACATATAATAACAAACAGTAAGGAGAAAGTTGGGCCAACTACATTACGAGCTCCAAACTGACACCGAAGAAGTCTGGAAGAGGCACCTAGGCCAGCTGCTAGCGATCAGAGTTCCTCGTCAAAATTAAAAGGGAGGACCTGATATACATAAACATGGCTGGAGATAATGATACATTTTGTTTATGTCACCGCCTTCACCTGACTCTTCATTGTCAATAAAATATTTTTACATATCAAAATATATTTATTTTAATACGAGTATAACGAATATATTAACAATTATTATAGATTATGTTGTCTGATATGAATAAATGTATTTTAATTTCAATTTATTCATAAATAAATTAGAAAGTATTATTTAATTCCTGGTATGACCAATTTGATAAATAAATTTTTCTGCATTGTTTTACTTAGGGTAGTGTATTATTATTTCGTTGCTGTACTACGCATAGTTCAAAGAATTCCCTAGGTTGAGACCGCGTCGTAAAGTATTCGCATTATTCTGCAATTGTATCTTATTTCACAATATTCCGACCTAGCTGGGACTTAATGCCCTATGTAAACGGAATATTTTATGTGTTTCATGAATACAATAGTCAAAACAACCCGTTATCCTTTACCGTACAGAACATACAACAATGAGTAATCATTACATAACAGAGTACGCGTGAAGACATTCTTAAAGTGAATCTGTAAATAATTAGTCCATGCTTTTTGTAGATGGTGGTATTTCAGGCATCTATTAGAAAGAGTTGACTAATCTACATATTATTGATTCCGTTGAATATTTAATGTTCTACTACCTTGATATGCTTACAGCGAAAAGCTGAAAAACCTACTACAATACAATGAAGATTTGTAACCAACACAGAACTACTACAACGAGTAGCAGTAGAACTTCTTGTGAAACAGTTCGTCCAGGGAAGTACTGCCACCTTATCTATTGCTGCCGCAAAACGGTTATGTGACCGTTACAGTGTTCCGGTTTTGAAGGGTGCTGATGAAATTACAGGAACACGGGACTTGTCAAGTTTTTTTATATTATCAAGTGAAGGAACGAACAAGTCATGCGCCTGATGGTAAGCTACACGCCTGTCCATATCAGTTGCAGTGCCGCTCCGAGGTTTAAATCGCAAAGATCTGAGGGGAACTGCCACTGCGCCCGTCAGTCAGCTGACTCGATCTATAAGCAGTTGTCAAAGCGGTGGCCCTAATTGGTATAAAGACGCAAGTTCGCAGATCGAAGGATTTTTTCTTTGCGTTCGATCTTTGTATTAATAATTACAATAATTTAGATATTTTCATAATTTTTCCATCACTATGCACTTTACAACACAACCTTAGAACTTCAAAAGTTTAAGTCAATTACAACTAGGAATACAATGTACAAGTACATGGAGTAGGTACTAGGCGGAATATCGATTACCTTATCAAATAATCTAAAGTAAATTACCATCTTGCTATACGGCAAAGCTCCTTAAGTTTAGAATGAAAAAAATTTTTTTTTTAATTGTTCAACAGAGATTTTATGCGAATACAAAGAAACAATCTACACAAATTAACTCAATTTCATAGGGAACAGCAATTGATCCCTGAATGCTATAACTTGCGCCTTTTCAAGGTGAGAGTGAACAGGAAAGTATGCTCCACATCCGAAATATTAAAAAAAAATCACGACAAAGGTAATAATGAACTGAGCGCTGCTTATAAATATCAAAAGAATTTAGACTGAAATGAAGACTCAAAGTTTATTCAAATTTACGCTTTATTACCCTACACTATATCTTGTTTCATTTCTTTTTATTCTTCTGTAGGTCTATGTCATCTCATATCTTGATATTTCGGTCATCTACGCACTACCATACCAATGGGTGGTG